TGCGTTGGAAAGACCAGGTGGAGAAGGACTTGGCTTCACTTGGCATTGGTTTATAAATATTGTAGTCATACTTGAGCCCTTAAAATATATTAAATTTCCCACAGACTTATAGAAAATTATAACCAATTTGTGAAAAATTATATAAAAATGCTGAAGTTTATGGCCGTTGAGGCATGTGTTTCCGTTATCCGATTTTAAAAATTTTTCGCTGGCACGTTTTTAAGACGATCGGAACATTTCTAGGTGGAGTCTTGCTTTGTAGCTTGACAAATAATTTTCTCAATACAACTAAGGCGCAGTCTAATATATTTACATATATGTTTTAAATTTATCGTGCTACTTGCGATCAGCTGATATAATAATGATAATCTTGTTCTTAAAAATACATATGTAACTATTTTTTCTTTATAATAAATTGCTTATTAAAATTTCAGTTGTTTATATCGCCTATGAAGTCATCCTCCTCGATTCAGCTAACAATAGCTTTGGAATAAAAAGTCAGTTTTAATTTCGCAACTCGAAAAATTTTTAATTCAAATTTAATTCTGTAAAATTTACGTACTTATAACATATGTATATACATATGTATGAATGTATCTACGTAAAGCAAGCGATACTCTCCTCTCTCAATAAGTGAATTATTGACATAAATACATAAAATCAGCTGATGAATTTAGTTCTGTAGCTGAACAGTTTTAGATCTCGACACTTAACAAACTCTTGCCTATCGTGACTCGGCACAAAAATTTAAAATATTGGTTCCGTACGTCATGCGGACTGCGCCCCTCGTGCGGATGGGCGGGAATGGAGGGTAAAAACCGTTGGGATATTATTAAATATTATTTTTATATTTGAATAGTGCCGCCGCCTTTTGTGCATGTCTTTGTGTTTGCTTAAATTAATTATCTGCCAATACTAAGTATACAAAAAAAATGGCAAAATTATTTAATTTAATAGGTACATATATCGTCTGTCTGTACTACATGTTAAATTATACCTAAACAATAAATGCATACAGCGTTATGTATGTATGTAAGCAGTCATGTTTTTATGCAAAGATAATGCATAAAAATATTAGAAAAATAAATTTAAAAAATGGGCAAGTACTAAACCTTGCTATTTTTGGTACGCAAGGGTAGGAGTAGTTTAACTGAAGAATTTCATGATAAAAAAGCCACGAAAATACGATACTTGGGTAGAACTGTCAAAGCTTTCGCAATTTTTTTTTTTTTTAGGTTTTTGGGTTCATTCGCTTTCGAACTTTAAAGGAATCGCTTAATTAGTTTGTATTTTATTCCAATGTAAAATATTTGAAAAATAAATTCATAGCCTTTAATTTTTGGCAAATATAAATAGCCTTGTTACACACGTATTAATTTTTATCATGAAAGCATTTTCTTTGGCATTTAAGCTAATTTGGTATGTGTACGCAAATGTTTTGCATAATATGTAAGATGCCTACAAATTTAATTTGCTTAGCTTTTGCATTTTACTGCATTTTATTTATTCAAAGCAGTGCTTATATTGCTTTATAAATAACGATGTGTTAGCGAGATACTCGAAAACTTAGGATTTCTTCAACATTTTATTTATATAAAAATGCTACTTTAACCAAACTGACATATGTATGTATATTACATCTTACAAATTCCTAGGCTTTCGACATCGCTAACATTGACTATATCCACCGAAAATAATTAGTTTTGAAATTGTTTTCATTGCATTTCATTAAAATAGGAATAGTATATTCATACCGAATAGACTAGTATGTGTAACTATTTTTTATTCTAACTTAAAACTAATTAAATAAACTACATATCTAGTAGAACTTGGAATCGTTTAGAAGTTTTTAACTTGTACATTTTCTGCTTTTATTTTAATGACGTATTTTAGATCATTTCAGTACCAATTTTTCCAGCTGGCACAATGGCAGTAGATATGTACATACAAAACTAAGCGCTTGTACTTACTATTACACCCATTGAAAAGAACTTAAATATAGAATACGCAGTTTAAAAAATATTTACTAAGCGGTTACTTTTATGAAAGCATGCCTATTAAGGTATAATTACATACATACAATTACAACTATTACTCAATAACTAAGCTTCTATTTATGATGCCTTTGCATTGCTTTCTTCGGTTTCAGACGCAGGCTCCACAAGCTGTGGCATAATTTGGCCCACTTGCAGACGTTCAGGCAGCGCCTCTGGCGTATTGATAATGCCATACGGTCGCAAGTGATAGATCAGGTAATCTAACACATACATTTGATTAGGCGTCACGTAGTGGAAAGAAATGGCTGTGTCCGAGCAACAATCTAAGCCCTGTTTGAGAGGATGGGAAACATCAAAAGGCAATTAGTTTGATAGGAAATTTTAGAAAAACATCGCATGCTCCGCACCTCATCGGTTTTGTAATAAATGTATTTCCAATACCAAAAACCTTTGTCTGTATGCGATGGTATTAGATGATGTTCTGGCACGAATGGGAAGAAGCGACCACGTGTTTGCTGATCCCGCGAATCGCCAGCGATTACATTAACATTCTCCAAGCATTTGCCTATTTCCGCATCTTCTGCGCCTGTGTTGTCTTGTTTGCACAGATTCTTGTCTGGTATGGCCTTCTCGACAAAACGACGCACCGCCTCTTTACTAAGCACGTAACCAGCACCACCGGACATGTAACCCTGAAAATAAATAACCATACATACATTTACACATATGTTAGATCGATTTGGGTCATATTCGGTTAAGAGAATTTAATTAAAAAATTAACGAAAAATTCCGTGTTTGTTGCCTCAGACTTACAAAATGCAGCATTTTCCGTATACATTTTTAAGTGTAAAATCCATTGAAAAATGGGAAAACAGCATCAGTATGATTTGAATTTTCAAACTAAACGTTTGTAATAGGCGGCATGCACGGTGCGTCTGACTCGCGATCCATTTGTGTACGTGTTGACTCGCCTTCGACTACAAACAGTTCAATCATTCAGAGTCATGCCTAGGGATGGGTAAATTCGATATTCGAAGCTTCGAGATTCGAATTTTAATCGAACTTTAGCTCTAAAATTACGAATTTTTGAAATCGAACTTTATGGTGCTAAAATTCGGATAAAATCGAATTTTTTTAGAAAAAATGGAATTTCGTCTTTATTTGCAAAAAATCAGCTCTGCAACTTTCTTCTTTCTGACAAAATTTGGCATCTCTGTGTGTGGCACCATATTTGCATTAGGGCTGCAAGTCTATAAAATACATCGAAGTTTTTTCGATCTGAGGCAACAAAATATCGATGTATCCTGTATAAAAATCGATATTTTTGATGCAGCGAATGAATTAAAAATATACAAGAAAGTGGAATAATTGGAACTTCGATAAATGTGGTGACGTGCAATAATGTTAATGACATTAATATTCACTTTTCAATTGTGTATTAATGTCAGCGGCATCAATTCGATGGACATTAATGCACGTCACCATAAATGTTTAAGTATTAACTCACAGTGAAATGTATTTATAGTTACACATCCCAGCTATACAAATAAATTCATAAAAAATAAATAATATTTCAGATGCTTTATGATCTTAAAACTTTATCTAATGTCTGGTTTTCATTATGTCGAAATAACTGAAACTGCTTTAAATAACAGCTGTTCATTTGGTGTCAAATACATTATAAAAACTGACCAAATGTAGATATCGCAGTGCATGTCAAAGGCTGTTGTCAAATTTTTTGTGGCAGGTGATTGACATTCCATTTTCCAACACTGATGTCAAATGTGAAGTGAAATTTTTTGCATGAGTCAAAATTACCGGCCGTTTAGCTATGGACAAACCAAAAATGTGGCTGGGTAGAACTCTTCATGCCCTATTATCTATTTTCTTAATTGTTTACTTAAAGATCTCGCTTTAAAACGCAAAATCATACGTTGTCATTAATTGTAAGACTTTTTAATAAACATACGTATGATTGCATATGTATGTAACGTGAAGTATGCGAAAAATTCTTTGTTTTTTTTAAAGCAAGAAAAATAAATGAAATCATGTTATACGCCCCAAAAATTTAGTTTCAATATGCTACATTTGCCAAATTTTTGGTTTTTTAGATATTTTTTTGAAAAAAAAAATTATTTGTATTTTTTTTGGTTGTGAAGCAAAAAAGAGCGATATGGATAGTTAATCATATTAATATAAGTTCATCTGAATCTCTTTTTCGGTTTGAGTTGTCATTCTTACAAACAAACTTTTAAATTTTCAGAATTTTTTTTTTTTGAAAATTCGAAAAAATTCGAACTAAATCGAATTTGCACCACCAAATTTCGAATCGAATAATCGAATCGTTGGGCAATGTTCGAAATTCGGAAAAAATCGAATTTCAACCCCCCACTACCCATCCCTAGTCATGCCAAGAGTCATGTCCGTGTAACTAACACATATCTTTAAAAAGAAAACAGCTTGTATGTTAGAAATTGCTTATAGGCGGCATCCACCGTGCGTCTGACTCGTGAGTCGGTTTGGATGTGTTTGTGAAAACAGACTGGAACAAAAATTTTCCAACGTTTGAGAAAATCGTATTTCTCAATTTGATTTTCAGCATGGTTTTTCATTTCAAACTAAAAATTTTCTAAAATTTTTCTCAAACATTGTTTATCAATTTAAGAACAGTTTGGGAAAAAATTTGTTGGCATTCCATTCCGTTCTATCTGTGTCAACATGGCACATGGTCCATCGGTAGTCTGCTACATCAGTCGCAAAATGACTCTTCGACTATGCTGTCGCTGTTATTCGCTAACTATGCAACTAATTTTTTACATCAACCGTATTATTCTTTGTTAAACTAACTGTATAAATATGCTATTAAATCAACTGTTAAACTGCATAAATAAAAATTCCTTTCCTATAAAACTGTGTTTCTCGTACATGTATCCTTGGCAACACTATCCAAATATTTCAATGAGAGTAACTGAATTTCATTTCGTTCCGCTCCACTCACGCTTGAGAAAAACTTGAGAATTCAACATATCTCAGTTTGAAAATAAAGGAAAATTTCATATTAAAAAAGTGCCTTTGAGTTTGTGAACGCTATCAATGGTTATTTGAGATGCATTTGAGAATTAACATTTGAGATTTGAGAAAAGGACTGATTCTCAAATGCATCTCAAATTGAGATATAACAAAAATGTTTATTGGGTTGGCATAACTCTGAATGATTCAACTGTGTGAAGTCGAACGTGAGTCAATACGTACACAAATGACGCGCGAGTCATTCCCACGTGTATGCCGCCAATTACTGTCCGTTAGGGCGGGTCGATTTAAAAATCGCTCATTGCTCTGTGAAAATCGTATTCTAGGGATCAAAATAAGAAACTTTGCCGAAGGAACCATACCTCTAAAACGAATTCTGATGTCCCCCAATTTGGGTCGAACTTTTGGGTAGGGGCAAATTTTGAAAAATCCCACTTTGACCCATTTAGAGTGCTCCAATCGAGTCCAAATGTATGACCGACCCCCATGCCAGTGGCACACCCCCTGGAACTCCCCTGGGGGTTCACCATACAAACATTTCAAAAAATCACCATTTTTGGCCTTTACATGAAAAAATCAGCTAAATGGCTATGTTTTTTCTTTATTTTTATTTATTTATTTATAATAATATTTATTATTTATTTATAATAATATTTTTTTTTTCTCTTAAGAAATTTATTTAGTCAGAACATAGGTAAATGAAAAAATTAATTTAAGTGAGTTATAGAAAAGAAACTAAAAAAAATTATTGTTTGAAGTCTTTTTTACTTTCAAGTCTGGGCAATTTCGCACGGCTCTCTAATGTCGTCGCCATAACAGCCTCTACATTTTCCGGTATAACCCGTTTGGAAACGCTAGCTAACAATTGAACATGTCGTTCCGTTCCTTGTATGTGTGATAGAATTTTTGGATCATTAAACGGTGGATCATCTTGATTTAAATATTCTTTCAATGTATCGTACGGAATGCTTCGCGTGAATGGTGGTTCAAATACGATATTTACATCATTCAAATTGATCATTTCCGTATAACTTGTGCAATTAAAGTTTATATCTGGTTTTTTATAAACTCTAAGTTCCATTGGCTCGTCAACATCGGTTCGATAGCGTAGAATTTTCTTGATGGCACAGTCGCGCTTTTCTTTGCTATCATCAAACAACATTGATAACAAGATATTTTCAGAATGCGCATAATATGAATTATCTTTAATTACTTGATTGACAATTTTGCGTAAACGAGGTTCTAGAAATCGTGACCAACCAATGAACTTGAAAAATAATGCACTGCCGTACACGACAGAGCTGTAATACTTGATATTGAATTACATTGGCACATAACATTTAATTATAAATTCAACCAGAATTCTTAAATTTGCATCTGGATTTTCCGTTGTCACATATAATCGCAATAATCTAGCGGCCTTGGTGAGCCACCGAGAATGTACAATTTTCCCTGGTTTGATGTTAGCCAGATCCACCGGAACCACGCCGCTAGAAATTGAATGGACCATGTCGTATAAGTACTTCGAATCGGTGGAAAATTCAATTTTTTCTGGAGCAGGGGGCATATTTTGCAACTCAATTTTCTGGAAGCCGTCCACCACCTGAAAATATATACTAATAAAATAATTAAAAATGGTTGACAATTATAATAAATGAGTGAGAGCAATAACTTACCGGAAGAGTTTCACAAGTTTCGATTTGACGGCTCAGTTTTCCGGTTGCCGATCTTGGTCCAGTGCTGGTTGATTTATCCAAAGCTTCAAACAAATGCCGAAACGGAAGTTCGTTGAAGTGTAGAAGGCAAACGAACCAATGCAATGGTCTTTTTAACAGCAATTCGAATCCTCGTATAATTCCACCGTGTGGGCCAGTGTTTGTTGGCTCACCGTCAGTGCATATTCCAATTAATGCATCCAGTGATATATTTTTATCGTTGAAAAAACCATTTAATTTGGTTGTTTTGTATTCAGCGATTTCATGTTCCAGTCTTACGTAACCAATCAATTCAGAATTGGGTTCTCGCAAAATAATAAGATGAGGTTCTTTTACCATCCTAGTATGATACTTCTCATCAATTTTATCTATCGTTAAAGTATCATCTTTTCTGCCATCGAATGAAAACGCTAACAAATTGGTATCATCTAACCGTTTGCGAAGCACTTCTTGTCTGCATTTCTCTTTTTCTCTGCGAACTTTCGATTTATCCATGATGAGAGGTTTCCCATGCTTATCTTTAATTTTAAAATCTTGCAAAAGAGCGGTTCCCAATGCTGATGCTACTCTGTCAGGCACACCAAATCTGTCACATACCATCTTGAACCGGTGGCGGTGCGTATGTTGAATAATCGGGATCTTGGTATGTTGGCATTGATGACATAGACGTTGCTCCTTGGTCTTCAGTTTCCATCACAAATGCATCCATTGTTAGTCTTCTCTGATTATGTTGATCGTGCATGAACTCTTTGAGGTGTTCGGGAACCCAGCCGCATGCACATGGAGCTGCCTTCAAATCGCATTTACATGTTCCAATGTAAAAAATTGTTTCCAGAGATTTTACATACTCTGTAAATTGTTGGGTGTTGTTTCTTCTCTTGATACTTGTCAAGCAATTTATTCAATTTATTAAATACACTTTTTTTCAGCATTATTTCCGTACCAAGTTTTTCCCAAATTCCAATCAACTTATCTTGTACTTGAATAGTGAATGATTTATGGGAAAACTTTTTTTGTTCTGTTTTAGCACGTTCGCTTAAGTAAAAATAATATCTCAAGATATCCAGATGGGTTGGTAAATTAAGATCAGTTAAATCAGTAGACACAACAAAAACAGTAACATCATGCTTGGGTATATGACTCATTGGGTTTTCGATAGTTGTTGATGTAGTTGCTTCATCTTGCGGTGTAGAGGATGGTGGATTCATTGTAAACTTTTTGATTTGGAATGGTCACTTCACTTATTATTTTTTTTTTAATATTTTTTTATCTGAAATTAGCACTTCACACTTTGAGTTCTTCACAACGACTTAATGCATTCACAAAAACTGTTGCGTTATATATGGTCTACGAGACGAGGTAATAAGAATGAAATGGTAATTTCAATTCTACCTGCTGTGTCTTGTGGTGGCTTAAAAAAAACAACACAAGCAATTTTACGATCTGCAATTGTGTCACAGTGATACCTTCATTGTTTAAAATGGTTGCGGTGCATTCCAGTGATACCTTAATTGTTAAAATGGTTGCAAAAAACGCGCATTTCTTAAGAAGGTGCCTTAAAATACCCACAAAAAGGGTTGTAAAAACAACCTTCATTTCTTAAGTAGGTGCTATAAAAAAACTACACAAGTAAGTTTACGACATGCTGCTGTGTCTTAAAAAACGCACACAAGCAATTTTCCGATTAGCAATTGTGTCACAGTGATACCTTCATTTTTTAAAACGGTTGAATAAAAAACCCACACAACTATGTTTACGACATGCAAATGCATCACAGTGATGCCTTGGTTTTAAAAGGGTTGTAAAAACGCTAATTTCTAATAATTTTTTTTAATTTCTTTTCCATTACTTAGTTAAATTCATTTTTTCATTTACATATGTTCTGACTAAATAAATTTCTAAAGAGAAAAATAAACTCCAAAAAGAAAAAACATAGGCATTTCGCTTATTTTTTCATGTAAAGTGCAAAACCGGCGATTTTTTGAAATGTTTGT